CTACCACCACAACCCGGCCCACCACTACGACAACGACTACCACCACAACCCGGCCCACCACCACAACCCGGCCCACCACTACGACAATGACCACCACTACAACCAGAGCTACCACCACAACTAGAAGAACCACCACCACCACAAAAAGACCAACCAGAGCCCACACTACAGCCCTGTGGCTCCCGGCCCCCAGAACCACTGCTGATCCCTACTTCGACAACCAAGGAGAGGGGGAGAGGTACCCGGCTAGAACCACCCCTGCTGGAGACAACCACACTGACAAGGTCAGCAGAGATCCACACCGCCGCAAGTTGGTGCCTGGCATGCATAAACCCTCCAAGATCAAACCCACCAAGAAGAAGACTGGAGGACAGAAGGTGATTTGGTGAAATGTTGCTCTGCTGTTGCATTTTTTGATTGATATTGGCAAATTATTTACATGTGGTTTTGTTATCAGTACTGAAAATTCTATTAAAATCATGTGGACAATTACTCCTGATGAACTGACAACCTATCTTTTTCTTTGAAGGCTTTGATGAACGAGTACGAGGACAAGTATGAGCTCGGCCAGCCAACAGTGAGCAATCCTGAGGAGACGGAAACCTTCACCGACATCAGTCGTACAAAGAAGGTCAAGGGAAAGCATGACAAGAAGAAGAAGAATGACAAGGCAGTCAAAAAGGCAGAGAGGAGAGGAGGTAAGGCAGGGAAGGAGGGGAAGATCGGGGGAAAGAAAAATGGCAAGAAGCCAGTGACATACCCTGAGAAAGAGGACCACCCGAAGCCCTCAAAGAAACCAGCGCTCCCTCCCGGGGGATCTATGGCCTCCTTCCTGGACTACTTTGAGAACAGGAGGCGATTGCTGGTGAGAGCATGACTAACACTCAGCTCACATACAGATCACCCATTTCAGGTTTCAGCCAGAAGGAAATGTGGTGCTTAGATACACTAGAATTATTAATTATTATTAATATTAGCTACCAAGAGCCGTCCCTGGTAGGCTAGTGGTGAAGGCGCAGCGCTCGCGCCGCGGTGCCCCGGGTTCGAATCAGGGTTGCGTCAGGAAGGGCATCCAGTGTAAAACACGTGCCAAATGTCAACATACGAGTTGTCAGTGTGACGATTTGCTGTGGTGACCCCTAAATGGGAAAAGCCGAAAGTGACTTTCTATTAATAATAGCTACCAACACTGAGCACACACGGTGCCCGTGCCACTGGAATGGTCTGACATTTTCAGTTATACTGCTTGTATGCTTTCCTGCTGGGATGACAAGTTTGATGCCATTCTCATTCATCTCTTCAGTATGGGGCCACAGCCAGCCGAGCTTAGCATAAAAGCAGGAGACAGAGGAAACAGCTGGTGCTGTTTGCAGAGAACAAAGCCTTCAGAGCTCTCCAAAGCTTTTTGGCTTGCCAGGCACAGCCACTTCCACTGACTTTCCTACAGCAGAAGTAGCTGTATCTTTGTCAGCAAACATATTAATAGAAGTTAGTCTTTTTTTTTTTTTTGTAAATTACATGTGATTAACCTAAACACAATGAGAGAGACTAAGCCAGACAAGTCACCTAGCTAATCGATCTGGTGACACCATCTTATTTACCACTGTTGTAAAAATGTTGAACCAGTCTTCACCTAGGCTGAAGAGGAAGTGTGGAGCAAAAGGAGCTGCTTCACAGTGCTGCAACTCAACTGAGTTTGTTTTCCAGAGCCAAAAAACATCTCAGCATCTGGACAAGTAGTTGGTTCATTTTTACTGGTCAGCAAACTGGGAAACACCTTTCTGCTTTGGAGCAACAAATCATTCATGTGTTCCCCAGTTTTAGTTTCCATAATCACACTGTAGTGGCGTGCTGTATGAAACTATGTGGATCCGCTGTCTGCCAGCTATGTCACAGGCTGCACAGCTGTGTGCTCGCAGACTCTGTTTAGCAGGATGGGAAAATATGCCCCATCCTCCACCTGCAGGTTAATGTAAACACTACCTCTGCAGCACACTGTGTGTGTGTGTGTGTGTGTATTTCATGACACTCTGACCCTCCCTCCCCCAGCTGATTACCGCCCCCAGTGAGGAGAACAGTATGTATGTTCAGCAGCGGGACGAGTACCTGGAGGCAGTGTGTGAAATGGCCATCAGGAAAGTCTCCATCATCAGCATCTTTGGCTCCTTGACCAACTCCACCATGAAAATTGACCACTACCAGCTGGGTGAGTGTCTCCCATGTGCAGTGACAGCACACAGTTTAAAGGTATAGTCAGAAAGTCTAGCAAAACAATATTTACATACCACGGCAGTGATACTAGTGACTGGCGGAAGAGCCCACTGCAAACAAGTCCTCAGAATACTAGCAAGTGGGGCACAACATGTAGCGAACCAACTACAGACTCCACTGTTATTTTCTCACAGCAGTTTCCAGCTGCTATAACTGAAGTGAGAACAACCTCATACATTTGCAAACTAGTAATCTAGCTGAATGTCCCAGGAAAAGATGATTTAGCAGACAGGCACGGGTATTTGCTAACATAATGTTACTACAAAGATTAGCCTACCTAACTGAACAACATCATACCAACCATAATGATTTTCAGTGGCCCATAGCAAACAGTCTGTGCCTGTCAAGCAGAGAAAGATTAACCAATGTGTCCATTCTTGTCACTTTTAAATCCTGAAACTCTTCCCCATCTTTGGAAAGCAGCACATAGCTACGTTTACATGCGTCTCTGACCTTGCCTGATTAACATTACAGCGCCCCCTTTTTTAGTGCGCTTCTGTTTTTCTCTGCCTGGCTTGTTTAGTTGTAAGTGGAAGCAGTGGAGCTGGTTCTTTTTCAGGCTTCTCACCCCTTCAGCTGCAGTAATATTGTGATTTTGTGAGGATGTGAGGAAAATGTAGCTGAATATGACAAAATGTGTAATGACTTAGATTTGCTGACGTATAGTCGGCACACTTTAATACATGGGCAGGTTCAGAATGCATTTGATGGTCACTCCAGTAGGTTGTGTAACAGATGACTACCAGTTCCCTCAGACATCAGCACTCATCCAGCCAGCTCTGCCATCCCTCACTGGGCAGTCGGTGGGCCCTGCTGAAGAGTCATGTGCCTACTTTGAGTGATTCTTTATGAGAATCGTAAAGTGAAGAGCAGAGCTGTAGTTGTGTTTGAACACTTGCTCTGGTCCTCTCACTCTGTAAATGTCATACATATTCTAAACTGGCACTCAAAGTTTCAAAATGCAAAAATTTTAGTGTAGGCGCCACCACACCACTGGTCTTCATGTCCCTCAACATTATTTCTTATGTTAATTGATGTTGGAACTTTAATAGCTACAAGTATATTAGAAATGAGCTGCCCTTTTTTGCACATAGATTTTTATGGTAATTTAATACATATCCACCACGTACAGTAACATTTAGGAGTTTATATAAAAACAGGACCGTGCACAATGATCAGCGGCAATAACAACATCAATAACAATAAATAACAATAGTCAGTCCCTTTTTTTTATATGTCGAACAAAAATAAGACAACAGTAGTGGACATATTCCTAACAGCACAAAATAGACACGACTGAATATACACTCAAAACTATCCGTGCACAATCTGGTACAACTATATCAACAGATAACTTTCCAGATACAATATATTCAGACTTCACATTAGAAACAATTCAAACTCGCTTCAAGATGCCGGTGTTCCTGTTCAGGCTGGAGTAAATACCCCGAACTGTTTGAACATGTTTGAAAGAATAAAATCAATCAATCAATCAAAAAACTCGTAGACAGTGTTGTCTCCCCTCTGAACAAGCCAAATTCACAATGTTGTCAAATAACAGACCTGCAACCTGTAACCCATACAGACTTCATATAATTTCTGTCAGACACTTACGCCGTCACGGAGCTTTGTATTTCCCTGCGTTTCTCTTTTTTTCTCCTTCTCGGTCTCTGTTTCTCTTTTTTTCCCGCGGGACACTCACCTGTCACACAGTGATGACGTCACAACAGATGCACCCTCATACAGCTGTGGGTGAGCACTGCATGTATACAACTATCATAGCGACACCCACTGGGCACCTACTAAACAACACCTTACTGCACCAGGGAGAGTTTCAGTTAGGAAACTGTAATTTTATTACTTAACCCGGCTACATTCTCCCCTGCTTAAAGTCAACGTCCCGGTGACTCCCTAACCCTCAAGCCCAAGTTTGGGCGCATAAGGTATCGTACCCGCTAACACTTGAGACAGTACATAAGGGGTAAAAGGACATTGCATTGCATGCTGACATAGGCAAGTTAAACGGATTTTGGTTCTGACCAGCGGTTGTTCTAAGACTCTTTCATGGGGCTGGTGTCGGCGGGGCCACATTGCGTTGCTCTGCCCTCCACCGTGGCGGAGGTATTGGCCTTTCCAACTGCCCTCCCACGACTGGTTCCGGTCGAGGAGAATGATCCTCTCTGGGCCGGTCACCCAGGTCACTAACATCTGACAGTTGTTCACATTCCATTTCACTTCGGTTCACATCCTCCAGATGACATTCAAGATCCTCTAGCCTTGGGCTAGCAGGTTTTTCCACTTGTTCCATCAGTAGGAAGTCAGGCTCTGAATCAGGGCATTCGGTTTCTGAGTCTGGATCAGCTTCCGGTCCATGAAAAGGAGGAACTGATTGGCTGTTTGGCTTTGGTTGGGGTATCGGTCCTACACAAAGTCTCAGATTGGACCTATGCACTCTCTTTAGTGATCCTCCTGTCACTGGCACTACTGTGTGTGTTGTTCCCTGGATATCAATGACCCTATGCACCTTGGGCGACCAGGCATCTTGAATCTTATTCCGGCCAGGAGAGCAATAACGAAGATGCACATGTTGCCCTACCTCAACTGGTGGACAGTGAACTTTTGCATTCTGGCAGACCATTCCCTCTGCAGCTTTCGATTCAACCAACGTCCGTGCCCTCTCATGTGCATCCTGGAGTTGCTCTCGGTGAACTGTGAGCCAGTCAGCGGTCTCATCCGCTGTTTCCTCCTGCCCTATCAGGGCATCAACTGGGAGATGGGGTTGTACTCCAAACAACATATAGTAGGGGGAGTATCCAGTCGAAGAATGTGGGACAGCATTATAAGCATACACCAGTTCTGCTAGATGTTCAGGCCAGCGGCATTTTTTTTCCGGAGGAAGTGTTCTCAGGAGGTCATGTAAAGTTCTATTAAACCTCTCGCACTGGGGGTTTCCTTGGGGGTGATGGGGTGTGGTTCGAGTCTTCTTCACCCCATACATTCTACACAGTTCCGCGATCACAGCACTCTCAAAATTCCTGCCTTGATCCGAGTGCAAGCGCTTTGGTACCCCATATCTCAGGAACCACTCCTTCAGGATGACTTTAGCTGTTGTGTCCACTTTCTGATTTCTAGTGGGGAATGCTTGATTGAACTTGGTGAAAACATCGGTGATCACCAGAACATTTTCACTTCCATCATATGCACGTTCAAGTGTAGTGTAGTCTACAGCGACAACTTCAAGGGGCCGAGTAGCTAGAAATGGGGTTTGGGGTGCATGGATTTTGGGTTGCGGCAGTTTAGTTAGCACACACCTTGGACAATTTTTGACCCATTGTTCAACTTCTGCATGCATACCTCCCCAAAAACATCTCTGCTTTAGAAGTCCAAGTGTCCGTTCTATGCCTTGGTGGCCCATCTGATTATGCACACTGGTTAGTACTTTTTCTTTGAGACAGGCCGGTAACAACAGCTGATCACATTTCCCACGATTTACATCCTCAATCTCCCGATACAAGAGTCCATCTTTTTCTTTGAGCCGAGGCCACTGTTTCAGTAGGGACTGTACTGGGGTAGACAGGGTTTGTCTCTCCAGAAAGGAGGGTTTTTGTTTCTTATCCCAGAGTTCCTTTAAAACTTTAAGTGTTGGGTCTGAGGCTTGGAACACCTGGAGTTCAGCTTTGGTGTAGCCGGGAAATGTGGGAGTATTACTTTGTGCTAACCCGCTATCCCTGTTATCAGGGTCAGACATCCCCTACTGCCTCACCTGGTAGTGACTAACCCCTACAGCTGCTAACTCTGGGCCTAAAGCAGTGCCTGCCCCGAGACTGTCACATATGGCAACACAACCAAACTCTGCATCTTCTGGATTGGGACCAGGCTCTGTTAAAGCTGACTGTCTGGAAAGAGCATCAGCTGCTGAGTTACAACGACCGGGCCGGTACTTGACATCGAAATCAAACACGGCTAACTGCGCAACCCAGCGCTGTTGGATAGCCCCTAACTTAGCAGTGGAAAGGTGGCACAGTGGGTTGTTGTCAGTCAGGACTGTAAACTTAGATCCCAAGAGGTAACTTCTAAACTTCTCCGTTACTGCCCACTTTAATG